TCCGTGTCACCATCAGCATCACCATGACCATCATCACAGCATCATCACCACCAACAACGCAATCAACATGACAATCACCACCATCATTTTCATCATCATCATCGAAAATATCATCATCATAACCAGCATCATCGCCATCGCCACAATCAACGACAGCAACATCATCATCACCATCGTCATTGTCATCGGCATCATCTTGATCATCACCGCCTTAGTCACGATGACCAACGTCGTCATCGTCATCGTCACCGTCATCGCCAGCATTAGCATCATTGTAAGCAGCATCATCAGCATGATCATCATCATCGGCACCATAATCAACAAACTCATCGCCACCGTCACCACCATCATCAACATCATCACGATAATCACTACCAACACCATCATCATCATCACCATCATCATCATCATACCCACCGCCACTGTCAAAATCACCATCATCGGAAGCAGCATCACCATTATCGTCGTCATCGTTATCGCCATCGTCGTCGTCATCATCATCAGCATGATCGTCACCATCGCGAAAAACCATCATCAACACAACCATCATCATCATCATCATCATCGTAATAATCATAATCATCATCATTCCCCCCGTCACCAACATCATCATTATCCAAACCATCGTCACCGTCATCGTCAGAATCACCACCACCATCCCCATCGGCATTATCATCATCGCCCGCATCCTTACCGCCAGCAGCACAAGAATCACCATCATCATCGCCATCATAATCACCCTCATGATCATCGACAGCATCATCACCATCACCGCCATCGCCCACACCATCATCATCGCATCGGTTGTCGGGCCCCGCCAGTGCCCGAGATCCTCGAGCTCGCGCCGAGCCACGTTCCGCACGTCGGACCACTCGACGTCGCCAGGCCAGTTCCTGCGGTAGACGCCACGGGCCGCCTCTTCGGTCTCCGCGTAGCCAGCGCAGATCACGTCAACTCCGAGACGGCGCACTCACCCGGGAGGCCCCAGATCCCGCCGAAGAACTCCACGACCGCGATCCCGCGCCCATGCAGCGCGACAGGGGCCGAGGCATGATGCCGCAACGCCGTCGCGCCCTCAGCGGTGCGACTGATTCGCGCCGACTCCACAGCCTTGCTCTGAGACATGAGTCGCGATCGGACGGCAGTCGAATGGTCGGCGCGCATCAGCGACCAGCATCGGGACGCGCCTCGAGCACATGACGAGCTCGCCCCTCACTCGGTCGCCGAGCGCCGCTCGACTCGAGGGAAGGTGAACTATGTCCATCCATCGCCGCGCCTCGTCGAGGCAACGCAGTGCTTGGCGACTAAGCGTGGATGCGGACACCCAGCGCCCACGCGGGGCTTGCATATCGACGGGGCTGGGGCCCTGCTGATGCAGCATCCACGCCGTGAGCGCTCCATGCTCCAGGATCCTCGGGATGGGGGACGCGGCGCGACCCGCGAGCCCGTCCACGCCCGCCCCTTTGCGCAGCGCGCGAGGGGAACGGACGCCACCGTTTCTGCCGGAGGTAGGCACCGACGCGGTCTCGAGTGCTCGCCGCAGCGCGGCCTGGTGCTCGGAAAGCGCCCCCCACTAGTCCTCCCAACCAGAGACCTTCGCGAACTTCGTTTCCTCGGAGTCGTCCGCGTACTTGCCCCAGTAACACCTCTGAACAGGGTTCTCGCGGACGGGGAAAGGCTGGTCTCGACGAAACTCCTGGTTCGCGGCCAGTCTCGCACTGGCCCGCAGCCCATCCGATGCGATTCGCCTGTGCGTAGATTGCACCGTTCAAGCCGCTGACAACCGTCCCATCGGGCTGAACCTCGCGCAGGCGTGCATCTCCTGGTACTCCGTGGCGGCGCTGATCCACTTCCTCCGCGGCTTCGAGAACGTAGACCAGCGCCGCCACTGAGGAGGCAGGACGTACGAACTAAAGCACCCCAAGATGTAATCCCCCGAGAAGAGAGCAACCTCGTCGTCCATCAGCACGGCCTGCGCGCACTCTCCTAGGAGAGGAGCTATCTCCCACGACGATGGTCTGTCCCGCATCCGTCGGCGTGAGTCTGGCGATCAGTCGTTGCTGATGGTGGTAACCCTCTGGCGCGCCCCCACTCTCGGCCGCGCCAGAAACTCCGTTGCCAAACCGTTTCCCGTGAATCGCGGGGGCGCGGGGCTCCTCGGCTCCCGCCAGGACCCCGCGGTCTAACGGCTGCCCAATCACGCAGTCCCACTCGTCATCGTCGCAGTGCACGTCGGCTGGCACCACTTTCGACCGCTCCTCGAATGGCAGGATGAGCGTGCTCGAGGGCATGGGCGCACGGCGTCGCTGCAGAAATTGACCGCCTCCAAATTGCCACAACGCTCCGCGGGCGGAAACCCGGGCTCGATCTGCGCCCGCGTCAACTTTTCGGGTTTGGTTACGATCTTTTCCCCTTGCCTGAACGCGGAGGATTTAGAAACCATTTGCGCATTTCTGGGGGGCGGGGGGGAACGCACGTTGCGGGGAAGGGGTGCCGTTGGAGGGGGGTGGCAGTGACTGGGGCCGCGGCGCGCACCCCCTCAAGCGCGCCGCCTCCGTCGTCGTCGACGACGTCGTCGTCGCCGCCAAAAACCACAGCGCCTGTGCACACAGCGCGGGCTGCGCACAATGCCTGCGCGCAACAAGCTGCTACAACATTCGCACGTGTGCACCGCGGCGACTGCGCGCGCCATAACAGCCGCGTGCACCACGACGCTTTTGTACACTACAATACCTCTGTAGACCACAGCGCCCGCGTGCACCGCAGCGCCTGCGCACACCACACACACTGACAGTGAACACGACGACGCCCATGTCACCACGGTTGCTGCTTCAGCACCACACTCGCGCACCACAGCTCAAGCGCAACAAAAACTGCGCGTGTACACCACAAAACGCTGCATTTCCAGGGACCCGGGCAGGACCGAATTCCGGAAATGTGGGAAATCCGAACGTACCAATTCAAATGTGTAAACTATGTGTGATCATTGTTTGTTTCTTGCGCAGGAAACGGCCCATTCTTCTGGGCCCACAACGCCCGTGCACACCATAGCGAATGTGTGCGCAACATCGGACGCGCACACCGCAGCGCCCGTGTACGCCACGTGGCGCGGCACACCGAAATGACAGTGCACCGCAATGTTCGTGTACACCACCATGCTTGGGATGCCTGCGCACACTGATGATGCAACAACAGTTGTACACACCACAGAGCTCGTGTTTACCATACTGCGCGGGTGCATCACGATGCCCGTGTGCACCGCGCGACCTGCGCGCACCTATGTTTGCGGGCACCACGACGCCTGCGTACACAACGTCTTGCTGCAACAGCAGCAAATGCGCGAGCCAAATTGCCTCGCTGCCCGTGCACAACGCAGTGCCTGTGTACGCGCTGCTCACGTGCACGTCCAGATGCCTATGGACGACGTCGGTCGTCGTCCGTCGTCGGTGTCGTCGTCGTCGTCGTCGTCGTCGTCGTCGTCGTCGTCGTCGTCGTCGTCGTCGTCTATCGTCATCTATCGTCGTCTGTCGTCCGTCGTCGTCTGTCGTCGTCGCTTCCCCATGCCATTCCGCACACCAACGTTTCGCCAACGCGCATCCAAACACCAACGTGCCGTGGCGAACACCACAGCGCCGTAACACGGCGTTCCCTGCAAGCTCCCTGCGCCCCCCCCCCCCCAGGGCCTTCGCAGCCGGCTAGGTGGAGTTGTCCTGGGGCGGAAGACGGGGGCGAGCCCGATAACCCGGGTTCTCGCCCGATCCGAGAAAAAACACTCTCCTGCGTGCACCATCGCGCGCGCCCGCTTGCACGACAAACCCTCGGCTACCCAAGATCGCGCGCTGGATCGGCGCCGGGGCCTTGCCGCTACGGGGGGGTAACATGTGTTATCCCTCAGGTGGATAAAAATAAGTCATTGGCCGCCTCGCTCCAAGCGACGCGCTGCATCTCGGCCCCGTTCTCTTTGCGAGAGCATAGGGGCGCCGCCGACTCCTACGCGCGCCGCGCCGCCCCCTGCCGCGCCGCCGCGCTCCGCGGGGCGCCCGAGAGGCACCTGTCGGAGATGTAGCCGCGATCCCCGCGCAGGCAGTTCGCGAGCAGCACCTGTATGCGCGCCCAGGCCCCGACCCCAACCTTCACGTGGACGGCGCGCGCGCCTCTCGTCGCCACGGTAATTCATCGCGCACCTGGGGTCATTCAGGCGCTGCAACATGGCGTCGATGCGTCCGCCCGCGCCCGGCAAAGGCAAGGGCAGGACGTCCCGCCTCCTCGAGGCGTTCTCGACCGCATGGGGCGCCGCGTTGAACGCCTGCCTCGCCCGCCCGCCCATCCGCGCGCGCGCGTGCATGGGCGGCCGCAGCGCCTGCACAGGTTGTGGAGGTTCCTCAGGGCCTCGCACTGCACGCACACTCTTGCCAGCATCGGAGTTGAATTCCATGAAAGCGGGGGCTGCCGCGCGCATCGCCTGCCTCAGTTCTTCCGGGAGCCCTTCTCCCGCATGTAGCCGCCGCTCCCTGGGCTGGGCGCCAGGGGTGCTGCTGCTGCTGCTGCGTGCTGAGCCTCGGCGCGCCCGATCTGCCGCCTGGCACCGCGCCGGATGCGGCCTGAGTCCGACTCCTCGGCGCGAGCAGCACTGTCTTGGCCTGGGCCCGAGGTGGCCGGGGCGGCGCAGAGGGCGGCGCCGCCAATTTTGACGCGTCCTTGTCCTGTCCTGGCGGGCCCCCCTGATGGGGCCCCCGCGCCGTCGGCTTCGGCATGGCCTTCGACTTCGGCGTCGGCACTCGCTTCTTGCGCCTCTGCTTCCCGGGCGTCGCCGCCGTCGCCCGCGCGTGCTGCAGCTCCTCTATTGTCGGCGGGGGCCGAAGAGCTGCGGCCCCAGTCGGCGCAATATCCGCTCGGGCTGGCGGACTGCCCCCCGGGGTCGTCGTCGCCCGCCCCGCCGCCGCGCCCGTCTGTTGGGTCAACTCGAGCTGGGCGGCCCCCCGCCCGAGGCCCCCGACCCCCTAGTGGGCCATCTCGCTCTGCTTCGCCTTCCCCTCGATCTCCGCGAGCTGCACGCGCTGGTCTGCGACTCGCGGGAAATCGCCGAAGAGCGCGGCATCGAGCACTTCGGCGAGGGCCCTCTCCTCCTGCCTCAGCTCCCCCAACTGCACGGGGGGATGGACTGCGTGAATCACTGTCGTGGTCCTCGCCCGCCCGAGGGAGAGCCATGCGAAAACCCCATTTTCTCCTCAGTCTCGATCGCCTCCGACGGCGGTAGTCAGCCTCGACCCAGGCCCTTGCCGACGGTCCTCCTCGGGCGGGTCGGCCGCGACGTTGGCCCTGCGCTGCGCGGCTCGCTCTGCCAAAATCTCGCCCGCCCTCGTCGCTGCGGCAGCGCCGCGGGGCCCCCTCTGACTCGCGTGACCGCGAGGTATGAGCGTCGCCCGCAGCTCCGCGAGGCGACTCTCTCGGTCTGGCCTGCGCGATGCTGGCGCGCTGCCATCCTTGGGAGCGTCAAGGGAGTCGTCGTCTCCACCGAACGCAACTGCCCCGCCTGCAACGCCACCCTTCGGGGCCTCGCCCAGTTCGCTCGCCGCCGGAGTCGGGGGCCCCTCGACGAGAAGCTGTGGCGACGGGCGAAGAGCTTCGAGGTCGGGGCGCAGCCGGTACGAGCCCACGTGGATCAGAACCCTACCCTTGTCTGGAGTCCTGCCCACGCAATCGCCTACGGCCCCCTCGCGGAAGCGCACTAGTCTGTCACCGCCAAGGCCTCGAAGCAGCGCCGACGGCGTGGCTGCGTCCGATCCCTTCACCACGTCCATAAAAAAAACCCTCCAAGAAGCAGCCGTTCCTACCGTTGACGGTCAACGATCCGCCCCTGGCTGACATTGTGAAGTGCTTGGCGGCCCCGCGGTACTCACCTTTGCACTCGATGGCGGTTCCGCGTCATCGACGAGCGCGGGGGCGTCTTCATGGGGCCCGCTCTTGCCGCTGCTGCGACGCATCTTCTTGGTTTTCACTTCGCCGCCCTCGTCGCTGGCCGCTGCGGGCCGTTTTGAACGCCCCACCTGGCCTAGGCGGAACGACGGATGCGTGACGGTCTTTCTTGAGCGCACCCGTCCCGCGGGCGGCCGCGCGCCACGCGCCCCCCGCACGCGCGGCAGGCGCCCGCCACTGGGCGGCATGACCAGCCGCGCGCGCGCGCGAACGCGGGATGGGGTGGGGGCACGCCGCTCCAGCCGTTTTGGGCACTCTTGAGCCCAGACGACTACCGAAGAAGCCGTCGAGCTCCCTCAAACGTTTCCGTCCCGCCAGAAGAAGCCGTCGAGCTCCCTCAAACGTTTCCGTCCCGCCACACTCCCCTGCAATATAATAAACCGGAGAGCACACTCATCATCATCATCATCATCCTCATCCTCCTCATCATCATCATCATCATCATCATCATCATAATCATCATCAGCAGCAGCAGCAGCATCATCATCATCATCATCATCAGCATCATCATCATCAGCATCATCAGCATCTTCATCATCATCAGCAGCATCATCAATATCATCATCATCATCAGCAGCAGCAGCAGCATCCTCATCATCATCAGCAGCATCATCATCAGCATCATCAGCACCATCATCATCAGCATCATCATCAGCAGCATCATCAACATCATCATCAACATCATCAGCATTATCATCATCAACAACATCATCATCATCATCATCATCATGAGCATCAACATCAACATCAGCATCAGCACCATCAGTATCTGCATCATCAGCATCAGCATCATCATCAGCTTCAGCATCAACATCAACATCGACATCAGCATCAGCGTCAGCATCAGCATCAACACCGGCATCACTATCATCCTCATCATCCGCAGCATCATCCACATTATCGTCACCGCCATCGCCCCCACCACGAATACCAAACAAACGTGGAAAACTCCAGCTGAGGCGCCCGCCACGTAGGAGGAGGAAGAGGAGGAGGAGAAGGAGGAAGAGGAGGAAGAGGAGGAGGAGGAAGAGGAGGAAGAGGAGGAGGAGAGGGAGAGGGAGGCAGAGGAGGAGGAGGAGGAGGAGGAGGAGGAGGAGGAGGTAAGGAGGAGGAGGTAACAACTGCCGACAGGGCCTCCGCCCCCCCCCCCCCAGAGAGACTCCCAACCTGGCCTGGGCTCCCCTCGCACCCTTCGCCTCTCCACTCCCCCTCCCCCATCCCCCTCCTCCGCCTCCTGCTCGACTATCCCTCCTCCTCCTGAATTCCCCCCGCCTCTCGCCCCTCCTGGCCCTGAGGTGGGGGAGGGGGGAAGAGGAGCGGACCCAAGTCGAGATCGGCGGCCTTGCATCGATCCTTGCCGGCCTAGCAGTGAAGGAGGGGGGGGCGCAATAGGGCGAGGGAGAGGTAGAGGAAGAGGAGGAGGGATATTGCACGGGAGAGGGGGGGGGGGAAAGCGGGCAAGTGAAGAGAGGGACAAGGAGGGGACCGGCGGTGATGGAGGTAGGAGGATCGAAAGCTTTGGGACCTGTTTGACACCTATCCGGGTCTCTGGAGAGCAACGCCCCAAGCAACATCGCTACGCAGAGCTCCTCGGCTGCTGCATCCGACAAGCCAAGCGGATCTAGCTCTCTAAGATAAGAGGGATTCGAACAGGGAAACTGTACTGGAATGTTGCATCGCCTACTTGCCACTCAGATGGTATCCCACTCTGTTGCAGCAAACTTCGCCTCGACGAGCCTCTGGGCGTAGGAGGAGTTCGGCTCCCGTTTTGCAGCAAGCTTCCTGGCAATACCTTCGAAGTACTCCTGCTGCTTCCCTGACAGCAGTGCCTCTACCATCTCCTCCTCGCTGACGTCCCCGCACTTCACTGCACCCTGCCACACGGCGAGCACCTCTGTCATTCGCAGCGTATATTCCCCCCCAAGGCCGAATCCGCCAACCGCTGCTTCCCAGGGTGACATAGCGTGTTTATTAATGTCTGGCTGCCCCCAGGGGGGAAAGCGGGAGTTTGGCGGGGGGAGGGCTTACAAGCTCACCAACTCGCCTCCAATGCCATCATAGCATCAAAATCCAACATCCCACGCCGCCAGGATACCCAAGACCCCCTCCAAGATGGCTCAAGCGGGGTTCCAACACATTTGAGAGGCCTCCAGAAAGCCTCAAGAGGCTCCAAAGAACCAAGACATAACCCAAATCAAGAGGTAGCCCAGACACACAAAAATGATCGCACAACACTATGTTTTGTCATGTCATTTACGCCATGCGGCGGACACGTACACCAACGCGAGCGTGCTCTGGACTGGGGGCAGAGAAGCGCACGATGTGGTGCAGTTGCACCATGCGGAACTCGTCGCAGCAATGTGGGATGTGTAGAAATTGTCCCAAAGGCTGTCAGCTGTCCCCAGGACTGCTCCAAGACAGCCCAAGATCGTCATGGCGTAGCGGCGAGTGGCGTAAACACAGCAGCGCAGACCAACACGAGCGCGCTCCGAATCCAGAGCACTTGACAGATAAGCGCACGGGGCGTGTGCGTGTGCGTGTGCGTGTGTGCGTGTGCGTGTGAGTGCCCGTGCGCGGATGCGTGTGCGTGTGCGTGTGCGTGTGCGCGTGCGTGTTCGTGTGCGCGTGCGAATGCGTGTGCGTGCGCGTGCGCGTGCGCGTGTGCGTGTGCGTGTGCGTGCGCGTGCGCGTGCGAGTACGAGTGTGCGTGTGCGAGTGCGAGTGCGTATGCGCGTGCGTGTGCGTGTGCGTGTGCGTGCGCGTGCGCGTGCGCGTGTGCGTATGCGCGTGCGTGTACGTGTGTGTGTGTGTGTGTGTGTGTGTGTGAGAGAGAGTGTGCGTGTGTGTGTGTGTGCATGAGCGTGTGCGTGTGCGTGTGGGTCTGTGCGTGTGCGTGTGCGTGAGCGTGTGCGTGCGCGTGTGCCTGTGCGTGTGCGTGTGTGCGTGCGTGGCGTGTGTGTGTGTGTGTGTGCGTGCGCGTGTGCGTGTGCGTGTGCGTGTGCATTCGCGTGTACGTGTGAGTGTTCGTGTGTGTGGGTGTGCGTGCGCGTGCGCATGTGTTTGTGTGTGCGTGTGCGTGCGCGTGTGCGTGCGCGTGCGTGTGCGTGTGTGAATGCGTGCGTGTGTGCGAGCGTGCGCGCGCGTACGCGTGTGGTTGTGTGTGTGTTTGTGTGTGTGTGTGTGTGCGCGTGCGCGTGCGAATGCGCGAGCGCGAATGCGTGTGCGTGTGCGTGCGCGTGCGCGTGTGCGTATGCGTGTGCGTGTGCGTGCGTGCGCGTGCGAGTGCTGCTGCGTGTGCGCGTGTGCGTGTGCGTGTGCGTGCGCGTGTGCGGGTGCGTGTGCGTGTGCGCGTGCGTGCGCGTGTGCGTGTGCGTGTGCGTGCGCGTGCGCGTGTGCGTGTGCGTGTGCGTGTGCGTGTGCGTGCGTGCGCGTGCGCGTGCTGTTGCGTGTGCGTGTGCGTGTGCGTGTTCGTGTGCATGAGCGTGCGCATGCGCGCGTGCGTGTGCGTGTGCGTGTGCGTGTGTGTGTGTGTGCATTGGTGCGTGTGCGTGCGCGTGTGCGTGTGCATATGCGTGTGGTTGTGCGTGCGTGCGCGTGTGCATGTGCGGGCGCGTTTGCCTATGCGTTTTCGTGTGCATGTGTGTGTATGTGTGTGCCTGTGTGCGTGTGTGCGTGTGTGTGTGTGCGTGTTCGTGTGTGCGTGTGCGTGTGCCTGTGTGTGCGTGTGTGTGTGTGTGTGCGCGTGTGTGTGTGCGGTGTGCGTGTGTGTGTGTGTGTGCGTGTGTGCGTATGTGTCCGTGTGCGTGAGTGCGTGTGTGCGTGTGTGCATGTGTGCGTGTATGCTTGTGTACTTGGGTGCGTGTGTGCGTGTGTGCGTGTGTGTGCGTGTACGTGCGTGTGCGTGCGTGAGTACATGTGCGTGTGCATGTGTATGCTGCGTGTGTGTATATGTGTGTTTGTGTGTGTCTTCGCCTCTGGTGGGCGTCCCAAGCCTCGAACCAGCCACACCACTGTCCTGGGGAACCCGGACAGAGGCCCCCGAGAGCCCTCAACCATCGTACAACCACATGCAGCAGCACGGCGCCACTCCACAGACACCCCTCGCGATCAGCACTGCCAAGCACCTCTGTATCTGTCGCAGCGGCGAGTCCCCACCGAGCTCGGGGGCAGCCGTGGGATGCAATGGGGCCAAAAAAGCAAGCGAGCACGTTCAGAGCGTGAGGATCTTGAACGTGTATGCCAGACTGCCATTGACAGCAGATGTTTCGCGTTCAGCCCGACGTTCCCTTCGTGCTGTGCCCCTGCCCCCCCGCCGCCCAGTCTTGGCTCTCGCTCGCCTCCCCCCGGTTGCCGCCGACGAGCTCCCCTTGGGGCTTCGGCTGATTTGGCAGCTCATGGCGGCACCTGGTGGCTCTTGGCAGGATGCTCCAGGAGACAACGAATGGGCGGCCAAGCTCGAAACACCGCAAAGGCTGGGAAGGGAAGCGGCTTGCATTGGACACTGCAGGGAGCAACATAGCACAGGCCAGTAGGGAGAGAGAGGATGTCACCCGAACCCCTAACCCTGGCAGGGAGCTGCAGACCGCCACTCTCCCCTCGCCAGCCTGTGCTGGCTCCGCCACGCGCGGCACGAGTCCGAGGCAACAGCCGGCTCCAGGACACGACGACGAGGAAGGGGCATGGCGTCAGCCCCCCGAGTAGGTGCAGGTCGCCCATCTCCGGGAAAGTGTCCTGGTAGAGGCACTCGATGAAGCGCCGGGAGATTTGCTGCATCTCCTGGCGCTGCAGATCCGCCTCCCTCGCGGCTTTCGACTCGCCCGTGTCCAACCTCTTCTCGGAGGAAGGCCAGGCGACGCATCGGCGGCATCGCCGAGCGGTGAAGGAGGGGCAATCGGAAGAGAAACAAAATATACCAATACCGCTGCCCTGCCCTGGTTTTTGCCCTTCGGGGCTTCCCCAAATGCTCTCGTCGCCATGCCTCGACATTATGGTCCGAACTCGCCCGTGAGAGCTCCGTGGAGTACAGTCGGACCTAGGCCAGAAGGACATCCCTCAAGTCGGGGATCTACTGACCCGGGTCAATCCAGACCTTGGTCAGTCAGGCCCTGCAGGATCCTGCAACATCCTGCATGCTCCTGCAGGATCCTGCACTCCGGCGCTCTGACTGACCCCCGTTTGCATTGACACCCGTCTTGTGAGCCCCGATCAAGCACATGAAACCCTCCGCCAGCCAGAACAAGCAGAACATCCAGGGGTACCCTCCTCAGGACGCACAAGAGCGTGCAACAAACACGAAGGACATTAGCAGAAGAACAAAAACAAATAAACAGAAACTTTTGGCGCTCCGCGCGGATTTCTTGCATTCGCGTGGCCCCCCGGAGCGCGCCAGGGGCGGCGCCGGATCGCCGCCGGGGAGCCCAGGCGCGGATCCAAGAAATCCACGCGGAGCGCCCTCACCGATGTCGACCTCGATCTTATGCCTCCGTCCGACCGTAGCGACATCGGTGCACGCTGTTTCCCCCAGCTTTGGGGGGGGAGGCGGCGGCGAACTCGGCGCTGGTCGATGCGGCGGCTGTGACCGATCGCTCGGGGCCGCTACCCAGAGCGAGAAGTAGAGCCACAGTCGGAACGCTGTCGCGAGGAGCCCTACTCGAGGAGCGAGGCCCTCTTGTCCAGAAGTTGACCTCGACCTCCCATAGGAAGCCGAAGCCCAACCTAAGACGTGCTGGAAAACAACGAAGGAACACTGAGCCCCTCCCCAATGAAGGCGGCTCCTTCTTCAGCGGCCCGACTGTAGTCTCCAGCCCCTGTAGGCCGGCTCGACGAGATTACGTATGCCTGCCCACAACTCGTATTCAGATCCAGGCCTTCCAGCCGCCGAGCTACAATCAAGGCTGACGACAGAGATGCGCAACAGAAAGGCAGACCCGCAAACCCCTTGGACGCCGGTGCTGAAGCTTCCTTTCGATCGCGGCGGGCCATCGTGGGGTAAGTTTGGGAAGTCAACCATCCCTACCATCAGCGTTGGCTGTATTCGCACGCGGCGCCCTCGGCGGGCTTCGGCCCCAGGAAGGAGGAAGGGGAGGGAGGGAGGGAGGCAGTGGATGGGAGGAGAACGGAGGAAGGGAAGGAGGGAGGAGAAGAGAGGAGATGGGAGGAGGGAAGAGGAGGAGCAGGAGGAGGAGGAGGAGGAGGAGGAGCAGGAGGAGCAGGAGGAGGAGGAGGAGGAGTGCTGCCGATGCATCGACTTGCCATCCTCTGGTCTTAGGTTCGGGCTCCTGCGCTGGGGGCCCCCGGACGACCGTCAGTCGCTCCGGCCGCAGCGCCACCACGCCACGGCCCTCGAAGCGCACGCCGACCCGGTCTCGGCCGTACTGCGCCACCTCTCCCTCGAGGCCGTTCAGCTCCCCCGCTCCCAGCCCGTGGGGCACCACGGTGCTGCACAGAGGGAACCTGACCGACAGGAAGGCAGTGGGACACTCCTCGCGCTGCGCCTCCACGTAGGACTGGAATGCGGCGGGCGTCAGCAGTCTGTCGCTGACCGACGTCCGGTCGTCCTCCTCCTCCCCGATCTCGTCGAGCCACTGCAGAATGTAGCTGTACCCGCAGCCGTGCCAGCCACGCGCGCGGGCGTGTAGAATACTTGTCTGCCGAGACCGGCCCCACCTCCACCACCTGCAACAAGAATACAGTCGGGGCGTTGACCTAAGGAACTCTCAATAAGGAACGAGGCCCTTTTTTCCATAAGTTAACCTTCGATTTCCTGTCGAAAACATAAGGAAAACCTGAGGCAAGCTGTGAAACACTTAAGGAACGCGGAGCCCCTTCCCAACGAAAAGGGTTCCTTCTTCAGGGCCCCGACTGTAACTCTCCTTGGTTTGGGTATCGGGTGCCCGTTTCGGCATCCGACTCCAAGACGACTGATAATCCCAAAACGGCTGCAATGAACGCCAAGTCAAAGACGGCCCAACCAGCCCCCAGAGGTTTCAATATCCTCACAAGCGGCCCAAGAAACCCCCAAGACAGCCCCAAGACTGCCCAAGAATCCTCCACGACAACCCAAGAGCGCTTCAAAACAATCCCCAAACCCGCTCAGATGGCCCAACACTACTCCAACTGAGCCACTTCAGGGGAGCTCCCAAAGCGCCCAAGCCAGCTCCGAGACCACCCGATAGGCCCTCAACAGAACTACAAAAGGCTTCTCGAAGTGTCCCGAGAGGCTCCACAGAGACCTTCAAGCTGTAACTGGATGAGGATGACACAGGTGGTTATTTCTGGGAACGAATGAAATTAGGATTTGTGTTCGGGCGGAGGGAAGAGAAACAAATCGCGTTCGAAAACCAAGGAAATAAAGAGTTCGAAACAACACAGAAGCTTATAGATACGTTTGAAGAACGTGGGAATTGCCGTGGAAGAGTTCGGACAAGTGTGAACGTCATGTGAACGAAGTTTGAAATATAGTCGAGATTCGTTAAACGTTTCGACCAGATGCGTGATCGGAAACGGTGACTGCGTACACTGCAAACGAAAAAAAGAGGTGGCAGGTGAGCAGGAGGAAGAGAAGGATGCGGAAGGAGGAGGCGGAGGAGCAACAGCACCAACATACATATAACAAGCATAAGAACACGGGAAAAAGGGGAATGAACGGAACACTTCTGATCCAGACGTGTGGCCCGCGCTGAAGCGAGAGCGCCAAGCGCTGATCCTGCAATGCAGTCAACACTGCAGCAGAAACACACACAGCATACATATGTGTATATATCTATGTATATAGATAGAAAGGGCCCGAAAAGGTCCGAAAACAGACACTAGCCGGACGAAGAACCCAACCATAAGCAACCGCGAGTACCTTGAAGGATCTGAGACGGAAGAGGGGGGCTCAAACTGCTTAGAATAATCTAAGGAGGGCCTGCTGGTGTTTGTTGGTCCTCCTGATCATCATCACCATCCTCCCCATCCGAAAAAATGTTTCTCATCCTGATCCGAACTGCCTGGAGATCTCTGGGGACCTCGGTCCACGGAAGACATCTGTGACGCCCCCTCCAGGGTTCGCTCTGCGCGAGGGGTGCCGAAATCGGAACGGCGCTTCCTTGCGGACCCTGCCACTGGGGCCTTCGGTGGAGCTCCCCACGGGGCCACGAAACATACGAAGGGTGTGCCAAAATCGGTGCGGCACCGCCATGCGTACCCTGCCACTCAGGCTTTCGGTGGAACTACGTATGAAGCCACGAACCGTGTGAGGGTGCGCCAAAATGGAGCGGCGCCGCAATCTGGACCCTGCCACAAGGGTGGGGCTCCCTATGCGGCCACGAACCGTGTGAAAGGGTGCGCCAAACTGGTGCAGCGCCGCCATACGGACCCTGCCACTTGGGCCTCCCATGGGACTCCCTATGAAGCCACGAACCGTGTGAAAGGTGAGCCAAAATGGAGCGGCGCCGACATGTGGACCCTGCCACTGGGGCTTTCGGTGGGGCTCCCTGTGGGGCCACGAACCGTGTGAAGGGGGCGCCAAAATGGAGCGGCGCCGCAGTGTTGACCCTGCCACTGGAGCCTTCGGTGGAGCTCCCTATGGGGCCACGAACCGTGTGAAAGGGTGCGCCAAACAGGGAGGGCGCCGACATGCGGGCCCTGCCATTTGGGTTTTTGGTGGAGTTCCCCATGTGGCCACGAACCGTGCAAGTGGTGCGCCAAAATGGGGCGGCGCCGCCATGTGGACCCTGCCACTGGGGTTTTCGGTGGAGCTCTCAATTACAAGGCCACGGACCGTGTGAGTGGTATGACAAAACCACCGGCGGTCCCCGCATGGGGCCTTCGGTGGGATTCCCTGCGGAGCCACGAACCGTGTGAAGGGTGCGCGGGGCAGCGCCGCCACGCACACTTTGCAAGTTGGGCCTTCGGTGGAGCTCTCTATGGGGCCACGGACTGCGTGAAGGGTGCGCCACATTGGGGCGGCGCCGACATGTGGACCCTGCCACTGGGGCCTTCGGTGGAGTTCCCTGTGGGGCCACGAACCGTGTGGGGGGTGCGCCAAAAATGGAGCGGCGCCGCAAGGTGGACCCTGCCACTGGGGCCTTCGGTGGAGCTCCCTGTGGGGCCACGAACCGTGTGAATGGCGCGCCAAAATGTGACGGCACCGCCACGCGGACCCTGCCACTTGGGCCTCTCATGGAACTCCCGATGCGGCCACGAACCGTGTGAGGGGTGCGCCAACATGGAATGGCGCCGCAATGTGGACCCTGCCACTGGGGCCTTCGGTGGGGCTTCCAAAATGCAAGGCCACGAACCGTGTGAAGGGTGTGGCAAAACCACCGGCGGTCCCCGCATGCGGACCCTGCCACTGGGGCATTCGGTGGAGTTCCCTGCGGGGCCACGAAACGTCTGAGGGGAGCGGCGCTGACTATGGCGCTGGTGATGGTCATGATGGCGTGGATGATGACGGTTGCGATGATGATGACGATGCTGACGATGAAGATGGCAATGGCGAGGCGGATGGGAGGAGAGAGGACGGGGAGGAGGGAGGGAGGGAGGCGAGGTGAGGTCAAGTGAGACACGGGGCGTTCTCTCTTCAAACGAGGACCCAGTACCACATGGTTGGGAATTAATTACGCTACCGAAGAACCCCACATATGAAGTCACGTGTGTTCGCAGACGACGGCTCATCTGGACCATCGCAGCCTCATCGCCACACATGGAGGTGGCGGCGCGTCCACGGCAAGTTTGGGGGGCATGGCTGCCGCGCGCAGGCAAGGCGGCGCTTTGAAGTAGGACTGTATAAGCGCGCCTGCGTGAGGAGCGCAGGCGCGCCGAGCCGGCTTGAGCCAACGTGTTTGCAGTTCTTGACAAAACACAAGTTCCCACCCCGAGCGCACCCCCCGTGGCGTCGAGGGAATGCCACGTCTGCCAGGCCCTGCGAGCCTGCAGCGCATAGGGCCCGCACCCACAGCGCACCCTCTATGGCGTCGAGGAAATGCCACGCCTGCCACGCCCTGCGAGCCTGCAACGCATAGGGCCCCACCCCCAGCGCGCCCCCTGTAGCGTCGAGGAAATGCCTCTCCTGCCACTCCCTGCGAGCATGCAACGCATAGGGCCCCCACCCCCAGCGCACCCCCTGTGGCGTCGAGGAAATGCCTCGCCTGCCACGCCCTGCGAGCCTGCAACGCATAGGGCCCCCACCCCCAGTGCACCCCCTATGGCATCGAGGGAATGCCACGCCTGCCACGCCCTGCGAGCCTGCAACGCATAGGGCCCCCCCTCCAGCGCACCCCCTGTGGCGTCAAGGAAATGCCGCGCCTGCCACGCCCTGCGAGCCTGCAACGCATAGGGCCCCCACCCCCAGCGCACCCCCTTTTGCGTCAACCAAATGCCGCGCCTGCCACCCCCTGCGAGCCTGCAACGCATAGGGCCCCCACCCCCAGCGCACCCCCTGTGGCGTCGAGGAAATGCCTCGCCTGCCACGCCCTGCGCGAGCCTGCAACGCATAGCCCCCCCCCCCCAGCGCACCCCCTGTGGCGTCGAGGGAATGCCGCGCCTGCCACGCCCTGCGAGCATGCAACGCATAGGGCCGCCACCCCCGCAGCGCACCCCCTGTGGCGTCGAGGAAATGCCTCGCCTGCCACGCCCTGCGAGCCTGCAGCGCATAAGGCCCTCCCCCCGCGCACCCCCTGTGGCGTCGAGGAAATGCCACGTCTGCAATGCACTGCGGGAAAGTGCACGACTGGGGCGTGCTGTGCATGTGCTGTGCTGTGATGTGCTGTGCTGCGGCCATCTGTGCTAGGCTGTGCTGTGCTGTGCTGTGCTGTGCTGTGCTGTATGAGAAGGAGAGGGGGGAGGCGGGAGGTGATGCGAGGAAGACGCGGGTGCGACGCAGGTGGGAAGATAACTAGAACCCCACGAAACATGTGTAGAACAAATGCACGGGACAGACAAACACGGCTTGAACTCATGAGCGGAAAAAAAATGCGGGAAAGGGGGGCGCACAACACAGCATCAGGGCAGAGAGGAGTGACTCTGGAGAGGGAGGAAGGGCACGAGGCCGCAAGCAAGGAGAGGGCGGTCAGGAGCCGCACAGCTTCGGACAGAGCTCTGACCTGGAGCGGGTCAAGAATTTTGAGCAGGGACCGACCGTGCCGGCATTTCTGTAGGGCTATCACGAACTGTTCTCAGACCCCCCAAATGTTCTAATAATAAAAGCAATGCTCTTAGAACATAACCCCAAATGGTAAAAACAGGACAGACTCAGTCAGAAATTTTCAAGTAACATTTCATGCAAACCACAAAGAACATTTTTTGCTAGGCACATAGGCGAGCCAGGACGCTTCGCCACTGCTTTCGTGCTGCTCTACTGCGCTGGCACTCTGGCGGGTTCGCCGCAGGCACGCTGGACAACAGATCCCAGTCCTGCTTCGAGAAGGGCACCCTGTCCCGGCGCGCGAGGACCACCGGCGGGGCGGGCCCCTGCCTGCCGCCGTACTGCCACTCCAGCGGCGCAAAGCCGTCGTCAGGGTCCGCCATGAACCTTACGATGCTGCTGCTCTTGATCTGTGAGTCATCCCCACCTCGACGAGCGCGCTCCATTCCTCGCAGAGTAACTACTCGCAAATGGCCTGGATCCGCCGCGGTGGATCTACGATAGATCTCCTCGAAGCAAGCCTGTGTTTTTTGACGTCTGCGAGTGAGAATTCTGCGAGCAAAGAGAACGCGCTCGGCGACCACCGGTGCCCGACAACTTCTTGTACAGGATCGGCTGGCCCAGCCGGAAGGGCACCGGCACCTGCATGAACGCGGCATCCAGCGCGACCTCGACATCGGCCACGTCGTCCCCAAGCTCGGCGGCGCGCCCAGAGGGGAAAAGGCGCGCCAGGGGGCCCTTCCGAGAGGGCCCTTGAAGGCCCACGGCCTGAGGAGGAGGAGGAGGAGGAGGAGGAGGAGGAGGAGGAGGGGGAGGAGGAGGAGAAGGAGGAGGAGGAGGAGGAGGAGGAGGAGGAGGGGGAGGACGAGGAGAAGGAGAGGAGGAGGAGGAGGAGGAGGAGGACGAGAGGAGGAGGAGGAGGAGGAGGAGGAGGAGGAGAGGAGGAGGAGGAGGAGGAGGAGGAGGAGGAGGAGGAGGAGGAGGAGGGGGAGGGGGAGGGGGAGGAGGAGGAGGAGGAGGAGGAGGGAGGAGGAGGAGGAGGAGGAGGAGGAGGAGGAGGAGGAGGAGGAGGAGGAGGACGAGGAGGAAGAGGAGGAGGGGGAGGGGGAGGAGGGAGGACCAGGAGTGAACCTCCGAAGCCACAGAGGGCTGCTCAGACGGCCAGAGGGATTCCGAGAGGCTCCGCCGCCCTCTGGCGAGACCTGCCCCCCTCGGGTGCGAGCGATGGCTCTCGGGCCATCTCCGGCGGCCGTGCGCTGCGATCCGGACCTCCCCAGGACGCCCTCGGCGCCCTCATACTTTGACCCTGAGAGGTCTCGACCCATTTCCCTGGACCGGTCTTTCACCCTGAGTCGTGTTTTGACGGTCCCGAGGCCCCGGTAATTAAGGGCCTCGAGAGGCCGAAAACTTTGAAAAACCTCATGTCATGATTTGTTCATCACCCGGAGGGGCCTGGGCGAGGCGCAGCCGCTGGCACGCACCCCGAGGGCGGGCAAACCCGCCGGGAATTCTGGCGAGGACGCCCGCGGAGCGCGAGGGCCTCGAGCCCGACGAGGGCCTCGAGCCGAGCGCTTCCCCCCCCCCCCCGGCGCGCCGCCGACCTGCACGCGCACGCCGAGCACTGCCGCGGGAGCCCTCACCGGGTCGGCGGGCATACGGTGGGCAAGGGGCCTGCGCAGCTGAGCCTATGGCGCGGCCGCTGACGGTGATGGGCGTGTTTTCCACCACCGCCTCCATAAGTTGGAGGGGGAAAGGAGGAGGAGGAGGAGGAGGAGGAGGAGGAGGAGGAGGAGGACGAAGAGGAGGAGGAGGAGGAGGAGGAGGAGGAGGAGGAGGACGGAGAGGAGGAGGAGGACGAAGAGAGGAGGGGAGGGGAGGAGGACGAAGAGGAGGAGGAGGAGGAGGAGGAGGACGAAGAGGAGGAGGAGGAGGAAGAGGAGGAGGAGGAGGAGGAAGAGAAGGAGGAGGAGGAGGAGGAGGAGGAGGAGGACCACCTCCTCCTCCAACTTCTGGTGGTGGTGGTGGAACACAAGCCCATCATAGTGGGCCGGGGCCTGCGCAGCGGAGCCCAATGGCGCGGCCGTCTCCGGGAGGCGGCCGGGAGCTCGTGGGGCTGCGGATCGGGCGGGGCCGGCGGTGGTCTGGCTCCCTTCCCAAACAGGATCGCGTCGTACCAAAATCAGGGCGCGAGTTTTTTGGCCATTTTCGGCCCTGGGGAACAGGATCGCGTCGTACCAAAATCAGGACGCGAGCTTTTTGGCTATTTTCGGCCCTGGGGGACAGGATCGCGTCGTGCGTCGTGCAAAAATCAGGACGCGAGCTTTTTGGCCATCTTCGGCCCTGGGGGGCCCTCGCCGGGCCTCGGGGCCGTCAAAGAACGACTCAGGGGACGGAAAACCGGTCCCGGGGAAAGGGTCGGGACTTTCAGGGACGCCGTCCTGAAAAAAATCGGGACGTCGCATGTCTGTGTTTGCAGCAGCTCCTGGCACGAGACCAGCGTGCGTGCGCCGTGCCATGTCTGAGCCTCCTCCTCCGCCTTTTTCTCCGCCTCCTTCGCCTCCTCCACCGCCTCCCCCTTCTCTGTCTCTCTCTCTCTCTCTGTCTCTCTCCCCTCCCTGCATCCCTCCCTCCGGCGCCCATGCACAGTTCCATGTCTGGACCCTGTTCAGGCCCCTGCTCCAACGCGCTGCGGTGCGTAGGTTCTCCGGCTCCGAGGGGCCGAAGCAAGATGCACCTCTAGCCGACGTTACGAATCCTTTTGCTACCTCGCTCAATCAGTGATTGAAACTGTGAGGGATCTTAAGACTACACTGTGGAGCACTCAGGAACTGAAGCGGCATGGTCACCAGGCACACGCCTGCAGGGGGGGAAGGGGGGAAATGGGGGGGGAGTGGCGGAGGGGAATCGGAAGGGGAGGAGAAGGGTGAGGGCAAGAGGGTCGAGGACGGTGAGCGGACAGCAGGTCCAGTGGGACAGGCTCTGGGACGGGAGTTGTTGGTGACACCTGGTGGTTCTTCAGGATCAGGAAGACTCGCGGGATTCCTTTTAAGGGCTCTCAGGGACATCTATCTGCTAGGCGCCACAAGGGGTCTATCTGGTCAGCGCCACAAAGCTCAGCTGGAACTGAACTGTCTGACATCCGCGTGCAAACGTCACTGCGCCCTCCCGCCTGACGTTCCAGCGTGTGCGAGCAAGCGACCTCGAGACGGCAGACCAAACAAGGATGAGGGGGCCGAGGAGATCGGATCGACTCGGCGGAAGGGACGGTCATGCTCCGCAGTGCCGTCTGGTGCCCGTTGGGGGTCACAGAGTGTGGAGCGTCAGAGGGAGGAAGCAGCTGCGAATCCCAACGCGGCCACCCGTGCCATGCTCCCGCCGGCCTGCGGGCCGCAGCCCCTGACTCAGGCCGCAGGAGACGCAAGCCTCCGCGGACCGCGCCGGGCCGCCTTCGCGCGGCCGGGCCACGGCGCAACGCAGAGGAGAGGAGGGATGAACGAAAAGGGCAAGCGCCGGCAGCTCCCATGGCCCAGGCCCCTGGGGTGGCACCGTGGCCCAGGCCGCGGCGCCGCGGAGGGAAGAGGGCGCTGGAGCGCGTTTCTCTATGTGTCGGCGATGACGGCGTCATGGGGGGGGTGGGGGCGGTAAGGTCAAAATATGGTTATATTTAGCGATGTGCTGTTTTTGGTTTTTCGGTGTTATTTCTTTCGCTTTGCTTACATCTGTAATTTCTTATTATTGCGATGGCGTTGGGTGGTGAGAGTTTCCTTTTGTGGCGGATTACAAATTGATTTCTTTTGTGGAGGATTACAATTTGATTCCCCTTGTGGTGGATTACAAATTGATTCCCTTTGTGGAGGATTACACATCAATTCCCTTTGTTGCGGATTACACAGGGATTCCTTTTGTGGGGAATAACAAAGCGATTCCTTTTGTAGCGGATTACAAATTGATTCCTTTTGTGGCGGATTACACATTGATTTCCTTTGTGGAGGATTCTTATGAGGAAACCAAAAAAAAATGAAAATCAATGAAAAGTATGAAAAGTATTGTGTTTTCAATGTTTTTGGTGTCGGAGGTAAAGAAAAAGTATGAAAACACGTAATTTCCAGCACCCAGAGTTTCAAAACACTATGTTTTACAATGTTTTGCATTTCCCGATGCCGAAAGCATTGTAAAACACAGCGTTTTTCAGCATTCGTAAATAAAAACGCTGTGTTTTACCATGTTTCCGCATTGGGAAATACAAAAACAGTGTAAAACACCGTGTTTTGGAGCTCCGGGTGCTGGAAACTATGTGTTTTCATATTTTTTCTTTGCCTCCGACACCAAAAACATTGAAAACAAAATACTTTTCACATTTTTCATTGTTTTTTTTTTTTATTTATGTCTCTCCCTGGTTTCCTCCTAGGAATCCTCCACAAAGGAAATCAATTTGTAATCCGACACAAAAGAAATCAAATTGTAATCCCCCACAAAAGAAATCAAATTGTAATCCCCCACAAAAGGAATCCCTATGTAATCCGCAACAAAGGGAATTGATGTGTAATCCTCCACAAAGGGAATCAATTTGTAATCCGCCACAAAAGAAATCAATTTGTAATCCCCCACAAAAGGAATCAATGTGTAATCCCCCGCAAAAGGAATCCTTTTTGTAATTCGCCACAAAGGGAATTGATGTGTAATTCGTTACAAAAGGAATAAATTTGTAATCGGCCACATAAGGAATCCCTTTGTATTCCGCCACCAAAGGAATCCCTTTGGAAATCACCCACAAGGGAATTAATCTGTAATTCGTCACAAAAGGAATCCATTTGTAATCCTCTACAACGGTGAATCGTATTAGAATCCACCACGAAAGGAAATCATTTGAAAACTTGTTACAAAAGGGATTCTTCGAGACGGAGCCAACAGGAAACCCATAGAGATATGAAGGGGATCGGTGAGGAACCAAAAGAACCCAAGAGGAGCTTGCTGAAGGTTATCCTTGTGTTGAGGGCGCCCCTTTTTGGGATGCCTTATCAACATCGAAACTGGCGGCCGCAATCGCTGCTATGAGGCCGTCAGACGCGAGGCGCCTGTACGATCGCACCCGAAACAGCAGCAGATACGTGGAGAAGCCGTACGACCTCATGTCCGACTTCGTTCAGGACTCGGCAGCGATTTGCGCAACGCACCCCGACATGATGCAACGCAAAACATCGAATAATGCCACAGTGCTTAGCAGCTTGGAACACGCGACGACGGCGCGGGAGCTGGGGTACATTCAGAACTTTTGCAAGTACGTCGCCAACGACGCAAACTATGATGTGATATTTGGAACGACTCGCAACGAAGCGTTCCACAAGCAGCTGAAGGCCTTTTACAGGAACGTAATGTGGCAAACTCAACGACATGCTCTGTGTATTGCCACGGCCGCGAAGTTGGCAAAACTATTCATTGGCTTCTTATCGAAATGCCATGGTGACCAGTCGCATACTTTTGCAGAGCATGATATGCTGGCCCAGTTTTCCCAATTTCTTTTAGCAGAGGCACCTTTTTTTCATTTCGTGCCCCGCATGAAACATGCAGGAACGGCGAACGAATCAGTAGACCAGGCCCTGCTGCCCTCCAACGCAAAGATTACTCGCAAGCGCCCAGCTTCTGCGATG